ATTTTCAACGTTTGCTACGTACTTTGCCCATAAATGATGAAAATCGCCCAAATGTTTATCGTGAACTAGGACGCGTTTATCGTTTTATGGGAAAATATCAACAGGCTATTGAATATTTTCGAGTTGCTCTATTGTTACAACGACGCAGTATACCACAGTCAAAATTCGAATATGGTTGCACATTATCTGGCTTAGCTGTTGTCTACTCTGAAATTGGTGACCTGAAGCGTGCTATCCATTTAAACAAATGTGCATTAGGTATCTATCATACTATCTTTCCAAATAATCATTTAGAGATCAATCAAATTGTCGATAGATTATCCTATGATTTATATAAGAATGGTCAATATCAAGAAGCTTATCATTTATTATCAAAGATAGATACATTGATTAAGGAAAACCGTTTACTAACTAATCCACAAGCACAATTATATCATACATTAGGTTTATTACATAAAACATTTGGCAATCGAATAGAAGCACTTGAATATCTTAAACAAGCATTAGCTTTACGTGAGAAATGGGGACATAAACATCATCCTTATACTGCTAGAATCTGCTATGAATTGAGTTTATTGTATGCAGAAGAGAATGATCAACATGCTTTAGCTTTTGAATATGCTCAAAGATCACTTAATATTCGTCAAGCTAAAGTATCATCGAATAACATTGAACTTGAACAATCAATCGAACTTGTCAAACGACTTTCATAAACAAACGATTCAACTTAATCAAGATAAAATAACTTATAAAATTTGTTTATTCTTGAGGGGTGAGGGTGAATCATTTGAAAACAGACTGATCCTGTCTCTAAAAGACAAGTTCAATCTGCTAATCTCAACTCTTGCTTTTCAGCAATCGATCAGTGACAGAATGAAAAAATAAAATAAAAAAAAGCAGAAAAACTCGGATTAAATCCGAGTATATCATATGTACTGCAAAAAGTGAAAATATTTGGTGAGGTTTCGAACTTTTATGTGTCAGATTTCTCCCTAGTTTCCTATTATTATCATGGGTGTGTATTAGCAGTAAAACATACCTTCAAAAAGACATTTACTGTGTTTTTATATCAATTGAATGGGTTTTTCATGCTGCAACCTAACGCGTGCAATGACTTGTTTTGAAAATTTTCCCTTTCGCCTTCGTTGATACTGTGTAGTTTCTTTTTTTCTCTTCTCTAGTATTTGCTTCACATTGGGGGAGAACACATAAAACCAACTTTTTTTAACATTCAAACCTGTCAGTCTCATGCAGAATAAAAATAGAAATATGAGAATTTTATTTAAGAGAGGGTCTTCTCATTTAGATTTTTTCACAAGTCTTCATAGTTTATAAAGGATACTTCGAAGTATATGTCCTAAAGTTTTTTCGACGTACTGGCAGTGAGAAAAAAATGAACTACTTAAAAAAATGAGTACTGGTCTATTATTCAAAAAACTCCTGTCCATTCATCATTAGTCATAATAACTTCGTTCTTCTATAGATCGGTAGAGAAATGAGTAGTGGATATTTACTACGAGAGAATTTGTAAAAAATTTTGTAACAACGAAAACATTCAATAGCCTGTTGATATTTTCCCATAAAACAATAAACGCGTCCTAGTTCACGATAAACATTTGGGCGATTTTCATCATTTATGGGCAAAGTACGTAGCAAACGTTGAAAATAGGTGACGGCTTCTTTAAAATCACACAATATTCCAGTTAAAAGGTTTCCATATAACATTGGACCATTCGTGTGTGATAAACGTTGATGAATATGTGAGATATAATTATGTTTCAGTGTATCTATTTCCGATGTTGAAGCGTGCTATCCATTTAAACAAATGTGCATTAGGTATCTATCATACTATCTTTTCAATATCTTTAATGACAGGCCCCTCCTATCTGGATATGTGACCGGCTCACTTTGTAGAGAATTTCAAGGGCTATCCAGTGGTATGTTTTGGAACAATACGTAATTTTCATTATGGCAGAAAAACGACTAACGGAGTGTTGAAAGCACTAAGATAGGTCAAAATGATTATATCGGACAAGTATTTCCACTATTGACCCATGTAGGCATATTTCTGAAAGACTTATTTATCGCTCATTTTGAAGCTCGTGAGATTCTCTATTGAATGGTATATCTATCGTAGTGGCTAGTTGAGAAACGTTGATCACAAGATCCTCATCGTGGAATAAGTCACCCACTTTTCACGGCTTTCCAGACAGTATTTCTAATGTCAAGGGGTCCCAGAACACTTTTTTCACTATCATACATATATATGAACTTGTAGTGCGAGAAATTCTCTATCGAATGGTATATGTATCGTCGTGGTTAGTGGATAAGCGTGGAGCACAGGATCGTCATCGTTGAATAAATCACCCACTTGCTACGTCCTTGCATAAAGTATTTCTAATGTCAAGATGTCCTAGGACACTTTTCTCACTACTTTGTATATATGAAATTGTAGCGCGGGAAATTCTCTATCGAATGGTATATGTATCGTCGTGGCTAGTGGACAAGTGTGGAGCACAGGATCGTCATCGTTGAACAAAGAAGAGTAGAACTTCCGATTAGGGTCAATAGTTGAAATACTTGTCCGATATAATGATTTTGACCTATCTTTGCAGAACGGCCGATTCCATCAAATAATCGCCCCCGTCCTTTAAGTCGAGAAAAAAAGACAACTCAGAAACGAAATTATTGAAAAATAATAATAATTTCCTATTTGAAATCAGCGCATAAAAGTACATCGAATAACGTATAACTTTTCCATTTTCTGAATAAAACTTTTTTCGAAAAAAAATTCTGACAAGGGTTCCCCTCACCGATTTTTCATCTAAAAACATTTTTTATTAAAAAAATTCGATGTACAAAGGTGTCAAAAATCTTCCAAAAGTGAATTACTAATGATAAAATCCGAACCGCATTTTTTCATTACTCGCAAACCACAACAAAAAGTTGCTCGAAAAATCGGATCTGAACGTTAGTTTCGTAGGAGCTTTTCTAGAGATCTGCTAAAATATTGTACACATAAAGTAGAAACCCTATGTGATTTTTTTCGACTCGATCTACATTCCATGACCTATTCTGAGAATTCTCTGAAAATTTGAGTCGTTTTGGACGAGAACTGAGTGACATATACGCTTTTTAATTTTTCTAACTTTTGTGTTGTACTGGGCTTTGTAGAAACCTGTCTAATTGAGCTCATTAAATTTGAGTACAATTGGACTTCTTTGATATAAACGAATGTAGTTTCAAGTCCTGCATAACAAAACTAATAAACAAAGTCCAAATTTGGCTAACAGTTAATTATTTACGCATACCTTGAATCACAGATGGTTGTATTACAAAAAGCTTAAGCCATGGTTTAAGTCCAAGTTTAAGAGCGACTTAAGTCCGGGGGCTCAAACCATATTACAAAAAGACTTAAGTTGGTGATTTGTTTACTTTTTAAAAGTCATTCTTGAGACAAAATGTCAAATAAATATATCTGTATTGATTTGATGTACTCAATATATATATCTATATTTATCAAAGCAAAAATTCAATGCCCCCAGCCTACTGGTAAGATCTGCTTGGAGCGCTATGTTCCGTCAGAGGCAGTCTGTCGACATCGCAACTTGTGCGCAGCGCAATTGCATTCTAATTTTTCTTGGTTTTTTCTTTGTTTCTTGGTACATTCTGTTGTTTTGAAAATGTCTGATGTGTTGGAGAACAAAAAAAAATATTTCTAGATCCAAGGGAATTTGGAATTGTCCACAATCCGCGTAGCCAAATTCCAATTGTCAAAAGGGAATTTACCAAACAACATGTATGCAAAAAATCCGTCATATACCATTCTTTTTCTAAACCGATAATTGTATCAGTATTTCCTCAGTCAGGTCTGCAAAGGCTACTATTCCGATAATTAGCCCCAAAAAGCGCTGTTAAACAATTCCTCTTTTTTCACGTGTGCAGTATATATATATGGTGTAGACAGAATGCAAGGAAATAGTACCGAGATATGACGATTCCATCAAGGAGTAGATTTATCACCACCTTTTTAAAAACTAATGAGGCTCCAGCTAGAGTAAGAGAAACAAAATTATTGGATCTTCATATATAACAAAATGTGGAATGAACTTATCACTGAGATAAAAAGGAGCTCCAAATTATAGAAAAACTATTTACTGAACCATTGCAGTCAACAATCACCGATTTTTATTTAATAACAAGAAACACACCTTTCGATTACGATCTATAATCATCATCCGTTATAGTTTACAGTGAAAAGACAACAAGAACAATTTTGTCGTTAGCTGTCACATCTCCAGCTGATTCAAAGTGTACAGTAAATTGTTACCTAAACGATCAAGGAAAATTGAAATTATTGGTACGACGAACAACGAGAGACATCAGCAAGAATAAAACAATTGAATCATTACCTGGATACTTCGACACGTACATTCTTGTTGTACACATTGATCAAGAATTGAAATCGAACACATCGATTGATTGTCATCCGATATTTCTCTTTTTGAATACTTTTGTATTAATTACTATAATTTCTCATGATTTTCTTCTAAACGAGTTTAACATATGTTTTTCGTAGTTCATCTAAGTCTGTCAAATAGAAAAATACTACGGATGCTCATGCTTATAACAGTAATAGTAGAATGAGCAGTCTATGCGTGCGCGAGTGTAGCAAGATCATGTATAAAAGGTTAATATACCCTTTTATCTTTATTACTTTTACCAAAATAATGTTCATTTAAAATATTATTTCATGGTGTCAACTCGATCGAACAAATCGTACGTGCGATTAGAGCAACAAACGATAATAATAGTATATTTATTTGTTGAAAGGACAGGAAAACGAGAAGAGAACGGGTATAAGAACAATATAGCTGCATATTTCATTCATTAATTTACATAGATGTTAGATAAATAAACCTCAGCGCATGAACATTTTTGCCCTTTTGCATTGCATTGTGCATTTTATGTGTCATAAAGAAGAAAAACACAGCTCTTCTTTTTGTGCAAACGATTTTTTTGAAAGATAATGCGATAAAAACAATATGAGCAGATATCTTTCATACAATATAGACAGCCATGCATACTCATCTGTGTATACATATCATTAAAGATTATGTCTCTTATATGGTCGGTTTGATTTCAGTTACAATTGTCATATTACTCTTTCTGAATAGTTTTCTATTAATTACTATAATTGCTCATGATTTCCTTCTAAACGAGTTAAACTGATTTCGGTTACAACTTTACCTATCAGTAGTTCTGAGAGATGACCCTAATTTTCCAAAGATCAACTCGAAAATCTGTTTTAGAAAATTCTTCTGAAACCATTTCTGCTTATGGAAACGTACTTCCAAGTCTCTTCTTTCGATTGGTGACAGCCACAGCTCGCTAGCGCCTCTCTATCAAAAGTTATTCAGGAAACATATCATTCATTTTTTTAGACGAGTACATTCATACATATACATTCACTCGTTTGTCGTTTTCATTTTTCCCTTTTCACTGTAAACTATAACGTATGATGATTATAGATCGTAATCGAAAGGTGTGTTTCTTGTTATTAAATAAAAATCGATGATTGTTGACTGCAATGGTTCAGTAAATAGTTTTTCTATAATTTGGAGCTCCTTTTTATCTCAGTGATAAGTTCATTTCACATTTTGTTATATATGAAGATCCAATAATTTTATTTCTCTTACTCTAGCTGGAGCCT